GGGTGGGGTGAAATGAGAAGAGGATAAGGGATAAATACATACAGCCGTGAGCCGTGGGCATGGCATTGGGGCTGCCGTTGCTGCGAGTGCCATACGGTCCCAGAGCTCCGTTGAGCGTCACCTCATCCTCTTCTTCCCATCGTCGTCGTAGGCAACGCATCTGTGTTGAAATTAAGTCACAGCCCCAACCACAAGAAGAACCACCAGATGACGATGACGATGGCGATAAGCAGCAGAAGCAGAAGCAGAATATCGATAGGTTTTGTTACAATCATCATCATTAATCTTCTTTCCTTTTTTTTTTTTTTTATTTCCCCAAAATCACCTCCTCATTTAATTTTCTTTACCTTATCTCGGTGATTGTTTTTAACAGAAGTCCGCCCCAACATTTATTGATGGAAAGGTATCGGAATGGGGGAGCAAAGAGGTTAGCTAGCATATATATATATATAGAGAGAGAGATTAATGGAGATTTTGGGGATTTGGTTTCTTACTGGGCGAAATTTAGAAAACTTGCGCTATCTGTAATGACATGGTATTTACTACTTCTCTTCTCCAGATATATCCTTTTCCGCTGCACCTCCAATCTTAAAATCTCGTTTTTCCGACAAGAGTGTTTCCTCTATTCTAATCAGCCACCTCCTAATCCATAGAGTTCAATCACTTGACTTGATAACATATATACAGAGAAAGCCAAAAGCATCTCAATGCTTCAGAAGATATTAATCATATATCTGCGATCTCTTTTCCAGATTATTAAATGTTGTGTGCTCATCTTTGCTGTAAGCACCGACAATAGTTAGATTGGCAGGCTAGTACGTTTTAAAAGTTTTTTTTTTTTTTTCAATTTGGCAGTAGATTTTCCTTCAATAAGCTAACCATGTTTGTGATACATGTTTCATCTTCATTTGTGGTAGATATATATTGGATACTAACTCTGAGCTACAAGCTACTTGGGAGGAACATGGCGCTGTACAAAAGGACAACTTCTCAGACTTAGCTTGGCTTCCACTTGTAATTAGAGAATTTATTCTACCCGCAGGCTTTCCAGGTAAATATAGTAAAATTTCCCCCAGTAATTTATTTCACTCCTGTATTCATTTTTCATGAAACATATTTGCTATCATGCCACCAATGATCAGTTTTAGACGATATTTTTAAAATTTTTTTAGCATTTGAATGATTATAAGCAGTCCATCATTTGCTTAATTTTTCTATTAATTGTGACTTTTCAGTTTTATTTCGAACTTCTTTGTCATTGCCTTTTCACATTCTTTACTTGGGACTCGTTGGCCTTAGGTTTAGTTAAATAAAGGCTAAATTACTAGATTGATATCTTTTTGCAAGCTCCTCTTACCATTCTTTTGAGCCAAATGTGTAATTAAACCCAAAATTTCGCCACCGACGAAAAAACCCCGTGAAACCTCACTTGATGCTATTAGTGTTACATGAGGAAAGTGCTAGAAGACTATTTGACACATTGTTACTATGATAAAAATTATGTCCAAGCTTATGCAATAATGTTGAGTCTACAATAAGGAAGTAAATTTTGGGACGAGAAAGAGGAGGGCATGGTATTACCTCCAAATATAGTAAAGAGAAAACTTGGGATGCCAAAAACTGGTAGGAATAAAGAGGTTTCACGATTTTTTTTCCGGCGGCAAAGGTGTGGGTCTAATTGCACATTGGTTAAAAAAACAAAAAACAGAACTTCGCTAGAGCTAGAAAAAATACCAAACTAGTAAGAGGGGTGTGCAAAAAATACCAATATGGTATATTTAGCTGTCAAGTAAACTAATTTTAGCAACAAATTCATTATCTCTTCATAAAAGCATTAAGATTTTGACATGTTTTATACAAATAGTTGCTACCATTACACATGTAATTTTTTATTTTGTTCAAAGATAAAAATTATTTGGAGTCATTTCTTCTTGCTGAAATCTTCAACGCCATCTTTTGTCAATAAGTTTGAGAGGGGTTCAATCTCCCTGTTCAGTTTTCTGTTCCAGAGGGGAAGAGAGGGTATCTGCCTTGAGCCTCTTGATTTCCTTCTTCCTTCCTAGTCTTGTAAAACAAACTAACTCAATGGTGAGATAAAAGTATCTTTCTCTCTGTCTGGGGTTTCTTTATGGCATTAAATCTGCAAAAGTTTCTTTTTTGGGATTTCTGCAACAAGTTGTGGGTACGGATGTCAGCGTTTTGGAATTGCTTAATGGTAATACTTTGGTATAAACGTCATGTACTTCTTACAGCACTTATATGGTGCTACTCGCTTTTGCATTGAAAGTTAGGATCAGTGGTTGGAATTTGATAGGATTTATAAGTTGGATAATGCATCTGATTTCAATTCTGTCAAAGTTTATTAGCAAAAATGTCGAAAAATTATGAATTGTCAATTCATGCAGTAGCTTCTAAGATATTTGGATTTACCCTTAAGCTTTTGTGCATTCTCATCTCTGGAAGAGAAGCATTCTGCCGTTGGTTTATGCATATTGTTCCCTGATACAAACAATCACTCAAAGGAGCATGCAGAAGTTCCTGTACATGTATGACACCGTCTAAAAACAATGCATAGACAAACTATACAGACCCTCAAAACACTAAGTATGCTCCAAATATAAACAAAGACAAAACGTCAAAACTGGCTCTTCTAGCACCAAATCAGGAAAAAGAATTGGATATATACACAGAGCTTGGCATCATCTTTTATTCCTCTCACAATCAGCTACCTTTGACTTATCAGACTTTTTAATTTTTAAGAAACCTTTCATTCTACTGCAAAACTCAATAGGAAGAGATGTAATATCTCTAAAAATAAGATCGTTCATAGCCTTCCACACAAAATACATACAGGATGCTGGAGCCGCTCTCTTCAATTTAGCAATCTAACCCGCACCTCCTAGTTTCCTAATAGTTTAATGAGTTACTTCAACCCAACAAGAAAGGACATTATGCTCTTGAATGAAATTACAAAGATAACCATATCTACTAATTTTGCGGTTATATGCTTTAGGTGTTTGCTTAAGGACCTGTTTGGATAGAGGGGAATAGGGAAGAAGCTAGAAAGGAAGGTAGGGGAATTCATTCATCGCGTTGGGGAAGTTTTAAGAGCGTAAGTTTCCCCCCTCATTTCCCTAGATTCCCTTCAACCAATCGAAATTTGTTCCCACCCAAATTGGGGTGGAATTGAGGGGAAGGAAATTCCTTTATCTTTCCTTCTCTTCTCTCTCTTATTCTCTCGTAACTTCTCTACCCCCAACGAAATCCAAACATGCCCTAAAGTCCATAAATAATGTTACACTGAAATATCTTTTCTCAGAAGATGTTGTATTCAAACATATTTTCTCAAAATTGTTATACTGGATTTGTGTGCAAGTGCAGACTATACAACTCTAGCAATAATATCATAATTTATATGGTGTGAATTTCTTCACATTAGCTTTGTTGTAATAAATCTTTTGTTATAATTTTTATGATTCTGTAAAATTTAAAACTGATATTATATTGAAATAAAAGCTTACTTGTAGTAAACCATTCAGTCTGGTAATACCTGTTTTTGTCATAATTTTTTAAGTAATACATGTAACTTTGAACAAACAAAAGAAAAAGGTTTTGTATATTTCTTCTGTTGTGTATGGTGATTAAGTATGCATGTAGCTGCTGTGGTTAAAGATATTTGATGTTTAATCAACATTTTATGACTTATAACTGAACCCCCTCATTTAAAAAAAAGGATAAAAACACCCATGTACATGCTTTAAATAATGGTTCCTCATTAATCTTTATAGGAAGAACAAACATCTATAATTTGCACGACTAATTATATATGATTGGATTACTCAAGACCTTTCCACTATGCCAAAACTCTCTGATGTTATGGTGATTATAATTTACTCTAGCATGCCCATAGGCGGAGTGCCCCTTTCATGACCCAATGCCTAAGCTATTATATGTAGTGGTACCATATATTTCTAAAGATATCTTTTAATGTATGTCTTATGGCTTTGACTACCTTTTAATGTATGTCTTTTGTCTTTGGATACCTTTTAATGTATTTCTTATGGCGTTAAGGCCCTTTCATTTAAACTGTACCTTTACATGTAGGAGTGTAAGTTATATACTTAACATATATTGCTTATCTTTTCTACTATGAATATCATGTCTTGAAAAATGAATATCTTTTTCTCATGCCCACACACGCGTGCGGTTTGACTTTAGAATCTAGTCGATTTATTAATTGTGCTCATTTATGTTACTTGGCTACTACTATCTTGTAGACATACTATACATGTACATATACCAAAACTTCATGGACACTTCTCGAATATATGCATGCGTTTATTCAGTCATATACTCAATTATATGATATGTTAATGAATGTATTATGGAGAAATATGATGTTGTAGTTGAATTAGGAATATATGGTTGAGAGATATTAGAGATGTGATTGAAAGAGTAAAGGAACATGTTAAGAATATGTTCAGCGTATTCCTAATAATTTGTAACATGTATTTATTTGCTCTTAGCATAAATATAAGAGATCAACAAAGCTGTAGATAGAGTCTCTGATTTCTCTCAGAAATTAATTTGATATATGCTTTAATTTAAAATACTTGTCATACACCTCTACGGTGTATATCCTACACTTACCATCTATTTCTTGAAACTTGTTAGACATTTGTCAAATTTGTATCTGCCCATACCCAAGTTCAAACCTATAATTTAAAGGGTCGTTTGGATGTCTAGTTCAAAAACAAGCAATTTCCATTTCAAATACGAGCAGTTTTCAATTTATAATAACACATGAAATGGAAAACAATAATGTTCTCAAGTAAAAAATTATTATTCAATATATATAATGTAGTTGTGTCCCCATACCCTACATTTTACAAATTTGTTGTCCCGTACCCATACTGGCACACGTACGTCGGTACCCGTCCCCTTTTCCATGCAAATTGGGTGCTCGTTGTTTTTTGAGATGCACTATCTATAGTTTGGTCGCTTTGTATTATTTTTGCTTAGTGAAACCATTTGATCTCCACATCTTTAAGCATGTTAATACCCTTTAACTCATCTTCCAGGATCAGTTTCAGATGATTACCTGGGATACATGCTATTGCAGTTCCCAACAAATGTAACAGGATGGATATGTCATGCATTGGTTACATCCAGTCTTCTAAAGGTATTTAATAATTGACCATTGCTTTCTTTCCCATGAAAGATGTTCCCTCATCCATTTCTGAACTTGTAAAAGATGAAACTTGGATACTGCACATGGTATTCCCACCAGTATCCGAGATACTTGGATTCTCCTACATTGGTGGATACGGAATGTGTACCTTATGATGTGTGCCAGAATTTATGGTGTTGTCCTAGAGATATCAGATATCTCCGAGACTAACAAGTTAAGATAGATAGTTTACAGAATGTCTGCGAATCCTCTAACACCCTCCACCCAGAACAACACCACCCCAACAAATAGGAAATTGTTAGCCTCTCTGCAGTTAATATGGAGAAATTTTTGAAATAGGCGAAATTTGACATGGTGGAAAAGTTGGTTTATTTTGCTAATTAAATATTTTTTGGGTCAGTTTTACTGATTAAATGCTAAATTTGGTCTATTTCAAAAATTGTCTTAATGGTTTTAGTTATTATACATATATACACCCTGTTATTTTAGTAATTTAATATTTCACCTCGTCATGTCAAATTTTTTATATTGTGGGTCTACTCTTTAGTTTTTTTCTGGGATTTTTATGTTATTTTGAAGCTAAGATCAGTTTACCTTATTTGTGTGCAGCGAATCCAACTGTAGTTATAATTTTAGAATACAATAACAATGATAGAAATTTATTTTATTATATTATACACTTGTTAATTACAATTACAAAATCTAGAAGAACAATCTGCAACTAAATTGACTCCCAAGTCCTTTTTTTCAAAAAAAAAAAACTTACTTTACAGTTAATTAGATAAATTATAATTGCATTAAGTTGTATTTTTGTCACAATTTACATCTATAATCATATTTGTAATTTTTTGAACAACATAGTTTTGAAATGGATAAAATTTTGAAATAGGCCTAATTTGCCATTTAATTAGCAAAATAGACCAATTATGAGTTATGTGAGCGAAAGTTGGTCTATTTTGCTAATTAAATTTTTTTTGGTGTATTTTTCTATTTAAATGTTAAATTTGGTCTATTTCAAAAATTTGTCCTGCTATGGATTATTCGAGGATACTTCACTGTGGATTCATGAAATACAATTTGAGGTTTGTATAGTCTGATTGTACGAAAGCTGAAATTATTTGCTAATGACTGGTTATTTACAATTTGTATACTTCTTTATAGAATATATTTGTATTTTATACAAGTGCATATGTTGCTTTAGGGTCTTATTTCTAACATATGCCCTGTATTCTTTGCTGTTATTTTTATTTGTAATTCATGTCTTAACTTAAGTAAAAATAACTAAAGAAAAATTATATCTTTTAACTATATTTTATATCTTTATCATATTCAAGTTGTTAGGACTTAGGATTACCATATTTCTTTGTTTATATCTTATTGCATCTATATTATCTCCATACCAATGCTACTTAGCTTGCAAAGGAAGAAGTTTGCAACTGCCAATTTTGCACTAAATGCTAGAGATTTTTTTAGTATTTAGAAAAAAAAATTGCATGGCTGATGAACGAGATATGTCATTCAAAGGTTTTTTCAATGTCCATATACTAAGATTATTTTTTTAAGGGTGGCAATCACCAAAAAAATTGTCTAAAAATGTTGTTGTAAAATCAAAGCACTGTAATATCATCAAAAGTTTGTTATGAAATGCTGTACAACTGTTATATGGAAACTGGATGACTCATTTAGCAGAACATATAAATTATAGGGAAGTAAGGAATGTTTAAATATCCTGTAAAGCGACATTCTAGAAGGTTGACAAGGCAGATATATTATCAAGTATGGACTATCAAAATGATATCTTTTTAATAGTTCCATATACAGCATTTGTGAGCATTTTGTGCCATATTTCTGATTTATTAAATCTCCTATACAATTGGGGCTTTAATGATGCTTGAAGACAGCATGTTAACTTTGTTTGCTGTGAAATTATATACTGCAATATTCCTATTATACTGCTATACCAAACTTGTAAGTAGTCTGATATGATAATAGTATTGATACTGATACAATATATAATCATAAATGCTATTTCCTTATGACAAATAAATATTTGTCATTTACTAATTGCATTGCATAAAGGTTGTACTAGGCTGTAGGCATAGGCTCGTTTACTGCTGCTGCCATAAGGTAGATTCTCATTTATTATTTTAACCAGCCTGTAACTTTTCTAGTACTGCAGTTCTAAATTCAGAAGCTATTTATACTTTGGCTATAATTTGTGATACCCTATGAAGTTCAGTGATGAAGGTGTATCTGTATTAGATATGTATTGAATACTTTGTGCTTGTATTCGAATATGTATTGAACATGTGGTAAAGAACACAATATTAGAGTTTGATTTTGGGTACTCTCACATCCTTGAACCAACAACCTGTATAAGCTTCCAATAGTGTTACAGGTAGCTTTTTCCTACTTTATTGCACTCAGTATTATGATGTTGGACAATGATTGTACGCCTGATCTGTAAATTTTATTAATTAGGCGGCAGAAATAGCCAAAATTCGATACAATGAGGGGTCACAGATTTTTCCTTAAGAGGCATTTGAAAAAGACCAGGATATTATAGAACTCTCCCGGCACCATAAAAAACACATGCCAATAAAGAAGATTCAGAATACCCTAAAAAAGCAATGACAAAAAAGGTCGAATAGAAGCTTGATGTTAATGATCTATCTTCACATAAAGTTTTATGGAATCTATAATATAGAGTTAAAAATTCACTAAAATAAATCTTGATAGAGGTACATTCTTCCACTTGAATTGTTTACTATTGTTATTTCACATGTTGATAGTTAAGAGGTTTTTTTCAAATACAAATCCCCATCATAGACCACATATCAATGGTTAATCTCTTCATGAATACTTTTTGCGTAACTTTGTTTGTCTAAGTCAATTGCATTTTGGTAAGCTTTATCATCCAACTCATTCCAGGCTTCCTTATAAGAGTGGCCAATTCCTTTGACTTTCCAAACAAGGGTTTCTCTGACCCACATGGTTTTGAGTCAACAGGTGAGCAGCTAAACCTGTTACATATTGAAAGAAATATTAGTCAGAAGTTCTCACAGTATCCTCTTTATGATGTAGTTATCATGTTATTGCTTGATCGGATATGACTTTGTTATCGCAAATCTTCAGGATACATGAAATAGGCTTACAGGCGAGGAAGCAGAAATTCACTAATCGAACAATGAGAAGTACGGGTCGTATAACTTTCATTCCCTCCCTAAATATACCCCTAACCCTCACATATCTGGAGATTGTGTCCTCTCTTAATGTTAGGCCTGTGTCGATTTCAAAGACATATATGGAATACAAAAATCTACCAAGATTAGGGCTAATCTTTACTGCCAGGGTACTGTCCCCGCAATGTTGAATGAGGTCAGTGCTGGACTCTGTGCTGGGCCTATCCGTTCCACCACAAACTTATGCAAAAGCGCCAATCTTGATTTTCTTCCTGCATCATAATTTGGTTCGGCTACCTAGTGGATCTAGATTATAGAAGTCAGGACACATATAACACAGCATGTTTATGTTAATCCTGCTCAATATGTTTGGTCTTATGGTATAATCATCGGTGACTTATTGCCAGTGTACTTTGGCTTTGAAATTGTCCTCTGCAGTGAGCAAAATTTTGAGAAAATGATATATTATTAAATATTTGAAACGTCCAGATAAGTCAACAATTGTACTGTGTTAATAATATTTAATTGGTTTCATAAGGTATAGTTAGAGTTGATATTATTTATACCAGCAATGTATTGAGTTGTTTTTTGGTTGGCTTTGTGGAGATACAAATTTCTTGCAAATTTAGATTCTTCTAATACTGATTTCTTTGACTTAGATGGGTGTCAAAAGATGGTCTTGGAGCTATTGGACGCCTGTTTATTGGTACCAACAACTGTTAAAGATAACCAAAAAATTTGAATCATCTTTTGCCTCTGAGACACTTTTTGCTTCCTAGGAGGGCGCTTTGGAAAACTGTTTGATGATGACCCAAAGCAATGGCGGATGTATGCAGATTTCATTGGAAGTACAGGGAGGTTTGTCCAAAAAAATAGTTAAGATATTGAGATCTCAATGACATATTTGTGACCTACGTAGTCTTGCTATGTCCACAATGCAGTATTTTTGAGCTCAGCACACAATTGTATCCAGCATATTTCCTGCCACTTGCATCTTTAGGGAATCTTGCTAAGGTACTCAAAGCTGTCCATTTAACTGTTTTTCAGTGTTCATAATTATAACCAGTCTTTTTGATCAAGTTATATTGCTTGGTCAACTAAATTACTGCGTCATGCTATATTGTTTAGCACCCTGCCCGTAAAGTTTTCCTGATGTTACAATTCATTGTGAGTATCATAGTGAAGTTGGTAAAGGTGGAAAGTTCTTCCATACTATATCTTAAGAGAAACCTCCCATTTGGCTCGTGTGAGCTACAATTTTAGAATGCCAAAAATGCCCTCACACTTAGAAAAAACTAAAAAATACCCTCACACCTGGAAATAATCCAAAATATATATAACATATCATTCTTTCCCTTGACAATTCAACTACGATACACTCTTCCATGTTTCCCTTGAACTACAACACTCCTGCACATTTTGTGTCATGCACGCATTGCATGCGGGAAGATACTAGTATATTTCTTAAGAAAAGTAGATACTTTTCGATTAACATTTGGAAGAGATGCACGAGAAGGAATCATGGAAGCACAATTGGTACTGCTGTAATGTTAGTCTGTTTCTGCATTCTTTTTATAGCATTGAATTACTTTTTTTTTTTTTTTGAGAAATAAGGATGGGAGTTCAAAGTATGAAATCCCAGCCATCCTTCATTATCATGTCAGTGCATGGTTGATTACAGAAATAGGATTAGATTCTTACAAATTAAAAGGTGTGAGACGTCTATATACATCACCTCCACCTCCCCAAAAAAATTTAAAAAAATAAAAATAAAAATAAAAATAGAACTTTTTATTCTCATTGTATACTAAGTTCTGTTGAAATTACACATATTTATACTTTTTCATCTTAAAAGATGCATACATATCTGTAATCGGTTTAGAAATTAGCTCTATATGGTGCAAAGTTAACATGGAAAAATGAGTCCTTATATTTTAGTTGTTAGCTAAAGCCTGAGCATTTGTAGGCTGTAGCAAGAGGCTTAAAAGATCCGTCATTTCGTGTGATCCAAAACCATTTTGCCATCACTGGGAATCTTGGAGAGGTTGCAGCAAAGGTAATTGGCGAAACTGAAGTAGATTGTATAGATTAGTGTATTACATAACTTTTGTAGTCCTGTCTGGTTCCGTCTTGTTTTCTCCTCCTTAAAATTGGAGGCAAGTTTCTGTGAATAAAATCGATCATCTTTCTCCTTTGTATGCTAATTCATAATTTTGGGGAGTTTTGGAGTGTTGCTTCTTGTTTGCATAAGCATAAAATACACAACTTACAAATTTAAGTTGCCTATCTTTTTATAATTTGTGGAAGCTAAATCTCGTGTCCATAATTTCGTGTCAAGCAATTTGGCCCCACTTTAGGTGATTGGTGTTACATTGACAACTAGCCCATCATTTGTGATATTCTGTGTGTGTCATGACCCTAATTTCTAAACCTGAAAGGAATACTAGAGTCGGACTAAACCTGTAAAAAATCCTCAAAAAAATCTACATTCATCAAAAGACCATTAAAAATAATCTCTTCATTGAACTAAAACCAACAATATATATTCTCTATAATTCAAAAGTCAACATTAATCCAATTAACTTGAAATGAACAAATATACCTCAAATTAAAATAAAACTCGACCTAAAGGGAAGAATCCCATTATCACAAAACTCTCAAATTATCAACTAAATATCAAAGATTTTATTCAACCTTCACCTAGAAGAAAAGTAGTAATCTGTAAATTTTATTCCTCACTCCCTCCTAATAATTTAGGAACCACCAACTTCACCTAATCCCGAGTCTCTGAAAAGAATGAATATAACACAATGAGTTCACAACTCAATAAGTGGATAAATTCATACATTAAGCATTGGTTTCGCAAACCTAAAATAATTTGACTTGATAAGCAAAGCATTAAAATAGTAGAAATTCATAATGCAACATTTTTAAAATATATTCATGCAATGGAAATAAGCAGGTCACGTCTCAATGCGAATCAACAGTTCGATACTCCAGTTGACTTGGTAAACCCCACTATTATATAGCCTGTGGTCAATAAAAACCTCATAGAGACACATTGAACTTTATTTTAATGAATGACTTATATCCAACATATAACAGTACATTGACTTGAGATGCATATGCTTTAAGAAAACTGACAAAGTTTATATAACCAAATACTTTATAAAGAATTGCCAAAGGTCAACTAATGGTGAAATTAATCAAGCACATATGCATCTCAACTTACTACTATATTATAAGATATGATCGTCAATAAAGAAATTAGCATACGCTTGTACCAAAATATCTGCATGCATCACAAAATACAATCCAACCAACAATTGATATATGAATAAATCATTCACAACGATATAATCCATTTGGGACAAATCCGCAAATATTTGTTTATAACTTTATATGAAAAATACACAGAGCAAAATGCATAAATTCACCACGTACAGAAATACCAACCGATAATCCAAAGATCCACCTGACGCCTCTACGGAAACTCTGCGAATTCCTAGGGAACAAATACAAGCAATCATTTATACTAATTAATAAATAATTACCATGATATACAATAATGCTAGTCGTTCGATCAATCTGTATATTTAAAGTAACTATCTTAGTATACTATTCGCCATCCCCGCACTCTGTATTTTTATAATATCTTATAAGAAAAACTAAATAAAAAAAACCTAGAGCCTGGCTGCACCTACACAAATATTTGGCCACCTCTTTACATTGCCGATTTGGTATGATTCATTTCCATTAACCTAGGAAACTAACATTGATAATGATGATTCTCTTTGTACAATCACAACTAAGAAGACAATAAACTAGCCGATCTAGTTATGTAAATCAATTAATATCAACCTAAATAATTTAGGATCAATGTCTCTCTTTCACAAACATGAGAACCATACATACCACATGCCATATAAAAATTGTTAGAAGAAGAAATAGAGATGTGTTTTACCTTGTTCCTTTTATAAGGATAATCAAATTACCGCTGACCACCCTCAACAAAGTTTCATAGCGTCTCTTTTTTTTCGCTCGTCCTCTGTGGCCGATTTTGGCTGGGGCTTCTAAACGAACACTACTAGGTTTTTTTTCTATTTATTAGTTTTTCCATTTCCTATAAACCCCTAGCCAATTTCCTTTACAACAAACCCCTTAACAAACATAAATATATAGATACTATTAATATAAACATAAAAGCCCTCATGTAATACCATATTTATAAATTAATATCGTTAACCCAATTGTTTGAATATCTAGTAAAACAATTTATAAAACTAGACCTGTTATCAATAGAAAATTAGGGATATTACAGTGTGAAAAGGTGATGATGATACGAGTCGCCGTGCGAGCACCTTTGATCGCGGAATTATCAAATGTGGGTTGAGAAGTGGATGATAGAAACACAAGAATAATTCAGTATGTGGCGAAGGAAAATACCCTCTTTAGATTATGAGTATGAAAAGATTACAATCTCTCTCTCACAATCTCACTAGAATTGAGAACAAGCTCTCAATTCTCTCTAAATCCTAATCTCTCTTGATTAGAATCTCACTTTGATTACATCTGATTTATTAGAAACCCTAAACAATCCCTTATATAGGTGTAACAACGTGGATGGCAAAGTGGTAAATAACCAAGTCCAAACCCAACAGGAATTCGTGCAAACAGAAACCCAAACGAATCAGGAAATCTTCGATGAGTTGACTCACGACTGAGATGAGTCAACTCGTTCGAAACTGGACAAAACACAAAATCAGAAATGAGTCGACTCATGACTGAGATGAGTCAACTCGTCAGAGACTGGTGATAAACGGCTGAGTTTTATGAGTCGACTCATGACAGGCATGAGTCGACTCATGACTGTTACAAGTCGACTCACGGGCTGAAAACTGGATGCTTCGATTTTTCGATTCGCCGTCTTGTTTCACGTTCAACCTGCGTTCTACTGTGCTGTTTTACACCTCTATTCTCAAGCTACCATGAGAATCAGCTATCCTCAAGCTCCCATGAGGATCACTAAGTTCTGAAGAGAAGATACACCCGTATCATGGGTCTCCCTTTAGGAACTTGAAGTCCCGTTCAAGTTAGAACTTCAGCTGAGGAAACTCTCGTGTTCCTCTATCTTTTCTGCACCACCTGGCCTTGCTAGGAACTTGATAGCGACGTACAACTGGAAACGACTCATTCGCTCCTTGCCTTGTCGTAGTCGTCTTTCGCTCCAACATGTAATCCTCTTTCGATGGTTTTTCTGGAAGTCTAATGCACAACGAGACAAACTTCTTGCTTGCATTCACTAGCCTCTTCGCTCGCGTCGTCATCCCTAAGTTTCTCCCTCGGAAGAGACGCCGAACGAAATATGAACTTTTCACCGCCTTTGATGAATGTATACTTCTGAGCCCGCTTCTCGTAGATCGCATATCTATCCTATAAGTATAGATTGCCCAGTATAATCTGACAAACATTCAATGGAACTACGTCGCACGTGACCTCGTCAATATACGACTCATGGAGCGCAAATCTGACAGTGCATTGATCAACTGACCTCGTCAATATACGACTCATGGAGCGCAAATCTGACAGTGCATTGATCAACTACACTCAGTCTCTCCTCCTTCTGAATCCGACTCATGGAGCGCAAATCTGACAGTGCATTGATCAACTACACTCAGTCTCTCCTCCTTCTGAATCCATCCTAATGGATAGGGCTTCGGATGCTTGACCGTCTTCAGACCTAGCTTCTGAACCAAGGCCTCGGATATCAAATTCTTCTCGCTGTCCGGATCAACTATGGCATCCACCAAACTGGTCTTCACGTGTAACTTCAGCACAAAGAGCTGCTCTCGGGGATCTTCGTCCTCCTTCGTAGCCTGTCTCCCCGCCATAAGGTTGAGACTGCTGTTGGGCTATGTCATCCTCGAGATTTTTTTCGGACCTTGAGCTATCACATATGCTTTTTTCTCCTCCTTCAATCCTCTTAGCTTGAGATGATGATACTTCTCCCAGCACCGATCAGCAACATGCTCTGTCTTCTCGTAGTGACTACAAATCAGTTCTGTTTTTTCTGGATCACCCTTTTTCTCCTCCTTATATTTAGAACCACTAGACTCGCCTCCCGTCTGTTTGGAGTCTCCCTTAGTCTCGTTGCCCTTCTTCTGCTTGCCCTCAATGACAATAGTCTTCACGCTCGCCTCTGTAATAGTCTCGACCGTGAATAACTTCATCTCCTTTCGGATGTAATCGCTCAATCCCGCCATATACTTCATAAACACAAAATATTTCTCTGTCGCAATGTTGAGGATCATCGTCTGCTGTTGGAACTCCGTGGTGTATTCTTGAACGGTTTGATTGACTTTTTGGCGCAAGCCGTACCACTTGTACCAACATTCTTCAAGGAATCCCACCGGATAGAACTGCTTCCTCAGTAACTCCTTGAACTTGTTCCACGACACCGCCTTCTTCTCCTGCTTGCAGTAGGACTTCCACCACGTCAACGCGTGCTCTGAAAGCTTCAAAGTCGCGAACACAATCTTTTCTTTGGACGAATATCCGTAGAGAGTGAAATACATCTCCATACGTTCGATCCAATCATCGAGTTTCTCCACATTGACACTCTCATCATAAACAGGAATATCCACCTTGTAGTCAATCTTCAGGTTCTGGTAAGAAATTTTACCCCTTTGATGCAACACAGCCTTAATGGTCTCCTCCTCCTCGTCGGGATCTGAATCCACTCTCTCCACATCGGACTCCACAATTTTCTTCTTGGACTTTGAAGAAGATTCACCTTGTTTATCCCCTCCATGGATAAGACTGACGAGTTGTGTGATAGTAGACCCTATCGTCTCGATCTGCTTCTCCAATACATCAATTCTCGCTGAATTGTCTCCTTCAGCCATCTTCTTCTTCCTTAAAACCTGGACTCCTAATAAAATAAGGATCTCGCCTAGCTTCTTGTATTACGATCGAGTCAGGACCATACACAGGATGCCCCCTTCACAGGATCTGATCGCTCTGATACCAACTTGATACGAATCGTCATGCGAGCACCTTTGATCGCGGAATTATCAAATGTGGGTTGAGAAGAGGATGACAGAAACACAAGAACAATTTAGTATATGGCGAAGAAAAATACCCTCTCTAGATTATGAGTATGAAAAGATTACAATCTCTCTCTCACAATCTCACTAGACCCTCTCTAGATTATGAGTATGAAAAGATTACAATCTCTCTCTCACAATCTCACTAGAATCGAGAACAAGCTCTCAATTCTCTCTAAACACAATCTCTCTCTCACAATCTCACTAGAATCGAGAACAAGCTCTCAATTCTCTCTAAACCCTAATCTCTTTTGATTAGAATCTCACTTTGATTACATCTGATTTATTAGAAATCCTAAACAATCCCTTATATAGGTGTAACAACATGGATGGCAAAGTGGTAAATAACCAAGCCCAAACCCAACAGGAATTCATGCAAACAGAAACCCAAACGAATCAGGAAACCTTCGATGAGTCAACTCACGACTGAGATGAGTCGACTCGTCCGAAACTGGACAAAACACAAAATCAGAAATGAGTCGACTCATGACTGAGATGAGTCGACTCGTCAGAGACTGGTGACAAACGGCTGAGTTTCATGAGTCGACTCATGACAGACATGAGTCGACTCAACCTGATGAGTCGACTCATGACTGTTATGAGTCGACTCATGGGCTAAAAACTGGATGCTTCGATCTTCGATTCGTCGTCTCGTTCCACGCTTCAACCTGCGTTCCACTGTGCTGTTTTACACCTCTATTCTCAAGCTACCATGAGAATCAACTATCCTCAAGCTTCCATAAGGATCACTAAGTTCCGAAGAGAAGATACACCCGTATCAGATGATATTGATGAGATATCCTTTTTTCAGATAGCACACCTACAACATACTCTCTAAACAGGTAAAGTTTTCAAGTCATACTTTTTGATTAGATCATTCTTCATTTAAAGAAAAAGACGCTAAGGATAAAGTCTTTTCAAATTTTGGTCTGTTGCATGATACTCTTTTTTTCTCCCCGTAGGGACATCTCTGATCTTAGCTAGCACGATTACCACTGCCTTATTACAGATTCCTTTTAACTATGATCAAGCTTATTTGGTACAACATGTCTTAACTAGCATTGGTTCCATCTCATCTCCATTTTTTTTTTTTTTTGAGAAAAAGATTTTATCTCATCTTAGTCTCAATTGAAACTACTTATCAGTTATTGTGGCTTCACTTATTTATTATCCTAATCTCTAGGATCTTGCTACTCTTCAATCTCCGAAGTCCCATGATATCCCATTTAGCTAACTGTAGGAGGTGCTGTTTTTTACTTGCCCAATATTTTGACTCATAAAAGTAAGTATAATTGGTATTACCATTTCATAAAATTTCCCCTTCATCTTCATGGTTGTGAATAACAGGAAGAGAAGAAAAACATATTAAAAAAGCTTTTAGTACGTAACTTTTTCAACTTTTTCCTTTATGTAAATAAGCTCCACAGCGGATGAGTTTCTGTAATTCAATGAGTTTGTTAATATTCGCTAAACCTTGGGTGAGGCTTCTTCATATTGATGGTCAGGTCATCCGATCAAGCTAACTTAATCGGTTAAGTTTGGAACCATTCTGAGCACAAGAATCTAAACTATTTTGAATTTAATGAAAGAGAAGGCATGAAAACAACGTCGTAATTGTTTGAATAAGATGTGAAAAAGCCGTGAAAAAACCCACCTTGTCATAGGATAGGAGTCTTATTCAGACAAGATTCGTAAAGTCAACTAGATACTGGATAAGACAGGTTGCTTTCTTCTGCCAGATTTTTTTGTTTGGCTCTGTGTCATATTTGATCTTTTGCTTGTCCCTTTTCTTCAATGTTTCAGGAGGAAGTGTGGGAAGTTACAGCACAGCTTCTGGGACTTGCAATTGGTATATTGATCATGGTACTTAACTAACGTTGACTCTCTCTGAATTTAAATTCATTGTATCTCTTTATTAATTAAATCCAGAACAAAGTTTAACACTTTCTACGATATTATGCTTGATGTATGAATCAATTATGCAGGATACACCTGTGATACAGACATCATATGCAAAGCTAACAATCACATGGTTCAGCTTACGTATACTGCACCTATGGTTACGATATCAGTCACTTTCAGTTCTCAGATTTCGCACAGTAAGACTTTTGCATTTGATTACTCATTTTATTAAGAATATCGAAATTTCTTTTATTTTGATACTAAGGTGGATAACTCTAGTTCATTCATTAATAGAGCTGAACCCCAAAATAAGATCCTGGGCAAAAATAATGTAGGCATCTCATTGGCATGGCAAATATGTGGCTTCTTGCTCGTTGTTCGCGTGTTATCAAATTTCAGAGACTAAAAATGTCATTCAACTTCTCACTTGAGTTGGTATAATTAAAATATGTTTTAATAATATGGTGTCAAACACTGTTCAGTATCTGCAGCAACTGGTTCCTGCCACAGTAGCACCTCAGTTAACCAAGGTAGAATTTTGACGTGGCCTCTTTAAACCCTATTCCTTTTCAAAGAACATGTCTTTTTATTTAAATATTGAAACATGGAGTAGAGAAGTATCTCATATCATATACAGCTCGGAAATTGTTTTGTTCTAATCTCCAACAATTAGAACTGCATGTTAGTGTCAGTTTGGGAAGGTATTTTCTTTGGCTCTTTGACACATATCACATCTTACAGATTAGTTCAAGTTATATCTTATCTTCTTCCAAAGTTCTTATGTTTTCTTTCATGCTCTAGATAGTTATGGAGCACTGGTCATTGGTTGCATGAGCTACTTGTATAGGAAATAATGTGGGTTCACACCTGCCAAGTAGGCTACTTGGTTTTATCGCAAGGCAACTTACTTTCACTGCTTCATTCGTATAGGACCAATAATCAGACGTTTTGACTTTATTTTCAAGCTATGATGTTCTGTCAATTTTTTTAGTTAGGCCTATGTTAATCTTATTTCTACTATATGGTTTTCCAAATTCTGAAATCTGCTGAAGCAACCGTACACCACATCTTTTTCTTTTGCCAGATAAACCTTAAACGTGCCCGGTTACTTGTGAAATCACATGTTATGCATCAAATGGTTCCTGGTGTGGTATCTTCCATTTTATTATTTTTGCAAATTTATTTTATTATTTACTTATTTATTTTGTGATTTCCCTGAACACGATCTGTTGATTTAGGGTTTATTGAATGCAACAAGGAAGAAACTATTTTGTCTTGGGAAAGGTTCCTGCAACCTAGAGTTATTTATGGTGTTTCCATAGAGAAAATGATTGGTACGGAAGGTTCAAGCAATACGGTATACTTCTTGTTTGGGAGATGCCTTCTGGTCTTTTTTTCATCTTAGCACGTTAAAACATGTGTTCTTGATAGTAATGTCTTAAACTTGCATCCAGATTGAGTACATTTTGGATTCGTGAACTTACTTTATTGTATTTTTTAAATCCATTATTTTGCTTGATACTGAACCGTCTGGCCTCAAATACAATCTTTTTAATGAATCGTAATGTTCTTCACTATACTAAGATGAAAGAATATCTCAGTCTGCATGCCAAACGTGATGACATAGCCAACAATTGGGCAGCAGGAGATGGGTAAATGCTCAAATCTATATGCAGAGAGTTTGTTAGATTACTGGCCATGTCCAAAAGCCAAACAAGTCTCTTGAGACGATGAGAAATTATTTAATGCTGTAAACCTGATTATCTGTATGTTAACAATATATATTTGCTGGTTCAAAACAGGTCAAGGCACTGCTCAAGCTATATGCAAACCAAAAGTATGTTCTGTTTGTGAAGCAAAAGGGATCAGGCCCAGCTGAGTATAGCGTCACTTTCAAGGTTGCTCACATAGGCATGTTGTGATGCGCGAGTGCGTGTACCAGTTTGTAGGTTAGTAAAATTAATGTACTTGAAACAATGTGGTTCAGGTGGGGGCGACGAGCCTCTCAGTCTTGAAAAGCTTGTGGCATGTGCATTGGCTTCATGAGAATCCTAATGAAGAGGCAACTTGCATCCTAAGCAGGCTGGGGGAGAGCCTACAGAAACTGGAGAAAGGATTTCCGGAATTTCTTCAACAGTTGGAAAGAGCTGGATGGAAGAAACACCAGATCATCCTCAATGTGCCAAAGAATATCCTTTTCCACGAAGTAGAACTATCTATGAATCTTGATGACAATGTAGATGAGTTATAAATCCTTGCTCTTCACATTTAATGTTCATTTTTTGAGATTGTTGCCATTCTTTCTTGCAATTTATAACACATCTTGCAAACTCGCCCTGTAGTATTTAAGTGTAAAGCTTCCGCAGATTTTTATAAGAGCGCACTCTATTCTTAAGGGTCACGATCCTACACTTGGTATATATAAGCAAATCAGACCCTACACATGCATGGGCTTAACTTATATAATCCTACTTTAATCGGATTAGATAGTTTATTTTTTTTACACCCAAACTCTTCCACACAAACCAAAAGAGAGTAGCTATGATATAGCTATATATATCCACAGGACCATAGATATCTTAAAAATAAACGAAGAAAACCACACAAATAAAAATCATACTAATTACTCTCACACATTCACTATTTTCAAAACAACCATTCTCCGTCTTCATCTATAATATATCCACATACCCAAATTAAACTGATGGAGTTTCCCCCTTACTAACCACACCATTGATCAACTCTTCTTTTTTCTTTATACTTAAATTGTATAACATTCATTGGATGAGGACTCACATGGGTCATCTGCCTGCCTTGAACACCCAAAAAAAAGTACTAGGCATTGTAGTTAGTTAATAATGAAATCCTATCATTATAAACAAATTAAATAATTAAAGATTAATAATTCTTAAGAATATACTACGTTCCCATAGCTTGCATTGCAAACTTGTTAGTTGTTTATTCCTGGCCCCAAGAGATTTTTCAAAATTAATCTTGAGAGTTGCTTGCATTAAAAAAAGTTATGTTAGAGGGCCGATATAGTCTATGTTATAGTTTAAGATTGTCAACATATTTTGTCTCTGATGCATATTAATTATGAGTAATAATATAATTTGATTGATCCAAGTATATGCTAATATATTTCTAGACTCTTGTCTTGTCTTTTGCTCTTTATTATATCCAACTTGATATCATAATTGATGTAGACGATAAAGACACTACTATAGAATTTCCCAAAAAAAAAGATAAAGATTGAGAAGGATTGATCTCAACTGAGCTTATACAAGCCATCTTAATATTAAGTGTTTGGTTATATTTTTATTACCAAATCAACAATATATTATTGTAATTTTTTTAACTTAACACTACATTTAATGACTAAGATAAACAAATTGGAGATCAATGATTTGATCTGATAAATAAATATGTTACATAAAGTTTGATATATACAAATTTAAAAAAATAATGTTGTGTATGCAAGTATATAAAAGTGTATTGATCCCCGTTTATATAAAAGTATATAAAAGTATATAAAAGTATATAAAAGTATATACACACAAATCTATTTCATAAATTTTTTAAAATGTTTAAATAAAATTTATGCCAAATGTATCTATGTTTATAGATTTTAATTCAAAATGAATCTAACTTATTTTATAGTAAGAAAATAAATAAATAAAAAATAATTTTGATATTTAATCACGCGCATTGCACGTGCATAAGAACTAGTATTGGAGAAGGAGAAGGTTACAGTTTAATTTTAAGTTTAAAATCAAATAAATTAATCATGCTTTATATAATCTACTTCTTTATTACTAAAGGAGAACAACAAAAAACATCTAATGAACAGTAACTTTCAAAAATAAGTGGATATAAAAATCCACCTATTTCCCAAACTTCCCAGGATACCACGCCCATTTCTCAAACTTCCCACGATACCATGATGTCCAAACTACCCCTTTATGTCTCTCTCTGTCTCTCTCTCTCTCTTTGAACTTCCCCCGATCTCCATTCTCTCTTCGAACCCAACCAAATCTAAACCCAAAAACAATGGAGAGCTTCACCACTTCATCATCAATCTCCCCACCATCTTCGTCGCCAATCACCTTCTCCCCCTCAACCGTGTTGGCCTTCTTGTTTTGATGATGATTTACAAACAATTTACTACTAATGTTGTTTGTCTAGTGCTTGTATTATCTATTCATTGTAGACAAACAACGTAGTTGGAGGATGGATGGAATAGAGCTTCAACGATGATATCCAATGGAGGTTGGCGGAATGTCGGTGAAGCCATGCAATTCTAGTTCAAGATCCAAGTTTAGCTTCATCCGTAACGTGTACCAAGTGGAGCTACAATGAAGATCAAGATTGCTTGGGTAATGTAGTTTAGGATTTATATTATGTGTGTTAAGTACTCTAAGCTCAATTATCTATACACACACATTTTATTGTGGAGGTTGGCGGAATGTCGGTGAAGCCATGCAATTCTAGTTCAAGATCCAAGTTTAGCTTCATCCGCAACGTGTACCAAGTCAAGCTTAATTGAAGATCAAGATTGCTTGGGTAATGTAGTTTTAGGTTTTATATTATGCGTGTTAGTACTTTATGCTCAATCATATATACACATACACGCTTTGGTTTTGATTTTGTATATATACAGTTATATATATACATATATATTTTTTGGTTTAATAGGTTTCGAGTTTATATATGAAACAAATGAATAGAATTAGAAAATACTATTTTGTTTCATGTTTATATGCCTATATATGATCTCGTCTTTAACAAGCCTATATTTAATGAAATCATATTTAGTGTTTTGAAATTATTGCATAGAATATGCAATTTTGTGAAAATATGGTTTTCTTAGTTTTTGGACTTAACAATAATCATATCCATATTTTATTAAGTCTATATAATCATTGTGCAAAGTTTCAAAACATGGTTTAGCTAAAATATCAAATTTCACATGTTTACATTTTCGTGTTTTGAACTATTTTGCAAAATGATGATTTTTCACAAATGGGAAATGCAATTTGGAAAATTCTTTTTGTAACATGTTCATTTACATGTTTATATACATTTTCCAAAGTTTCATAATTTTTGGACTTCATTTGTTATTTTTAACATTTTTCCAAAGTCTTAAAAGTCAGCTTTAAAATCAGGTTTTGAAATGTCTGTTTTCGGTCGACCGCACCGGTCGACCGCTCGTTTGTTTTTTCGTCAGCATGGTCCAGAGAGTTGGTCGGTCGACCGGTCCGGTCGACCGAAAAGCTCCATCGGTCGACCGCACCGGTCGACCGGATAAGTGTTTGCTTGATTTCCTGTCTTCGACCTGGATAACGGTCGACCGAACTTTCCATCGGTCGACCGAATTTTTCCATCGGTCGACCGACGGAATTTTCGGTCGACCGACAATATAGCCGTTGCTTTTTAACGGCTCTTTCTCTGAGCTGTTTGCTGGGGTTTTTGGTCATTTCGTTTTGGGGTTTTTGGCTGAGCTCTGAGTGGGTATATATATACCCCATTGCTGATGTCTTTTCAAGTGAGCCAAGAGAGTTTGAAAACAAGTTTAAGAAAGTTTTTAATCAAGGGTTTAAGTTTTGTTTAAAAGAGTTTAAGAGTTTGTTTGAGTTTAGTTTGTGAAGCAAATTTCACAAGAGCAAAGAGGAGATCATTCTTTGGTGTTTGGGCATTCAACTCATCTCTCTCTCACTCTTGATCTATAGAGAAGTTTTCCTTAAACTCAATTCTAGCTATTTATTGTTTTGATCTTAATTTCCATAAGCTAGATTTATATATTGAGTTTAATTGTTTTATTGATACTCTTTGTTCACACACAACCTATTGAGCTTATTGTATTTTCATTCATAGTATAATTTTGGGTTGTGAGATTAGTGACTTAGAGTTGTGCTTAATTGAGTTCTCACCTTGTTTAGAGAACAAATCATTTGATTTATATTGTGCTTATTGTGAGGATTCACTTGTAATACACTTGTACACCGAGAGAAGTGTGTGGTGAGAGACGGGGTCGAATCCAAGAGGAGTGGCGTCGGTTGACGTGCCTAGGGAGAGGTTGTAACCGAGCACTTGAGGAGGAGGACACGGGCTAGGACCAACACTTAGTGTGTGAGGTGTGATTACATAGTGATTGTATTGTGAGGTGTAAACGTTGTTCGGGTGAACGTAGAAAACCCGGTTGTGATAGTGGAGATCTCCTCGAGGTGAGGAGCGGGGACGTAGGTCGTGGGGACCGAACCTCGTAAACATATCGTTTTGTTTGTGATTGCATTGGCGTTCTTATTCTTGTTTTCATATCTTATATCGCCTTTGTGTATTGCTCATCATATTACCCTATCACTTGTGTAGATTGTTTATTTTACCCTTGTGTTAGTTCATATATCCTTGCTCATATATTTGTAATATCTCATTGATAGGATATATTCATTTGTTCATATTGCTTATCCTAGCTTACGTATCTTGTTGTATTTTATACTTGCTAGGATAACTTATTAATTAGTTTTAATTGGCATTTAATCGGATTAGATTAGCATAAGACCCTAATCACCCCCCCTCTAGGGTCTAACAATTGGTATCAGAGCTTGGTGCTCTTTGATTTAAGGTCTAATCGCCTTGAGTTAAAGATCCAAGTTATCTTTTTTGTGCTAATCTAGTTATGATTGCATTTGTCTTGCTTGCATATGTTCATATATATATCTTGAATATGAATGTATTTTGTTTAGGCTATAAATCCAATGTTGCTCCTAAATTCATTAATTTTTCCTATGCACAATGGGCTTCTAGATTTAAAATTTTTGTGCAATCTAAAAATATTGATTTATGGGGAATTATTGATGATGCTTATATTGTACCCACTATGGAGAAATCCAAGTGGAGTAGAAATGATAAAAGATTGTTTACTATGAATAAAGTTGTGTTAGAATATATGCTTCATGCACTTGATTCTTCTATTTCTAACAAACTTGCTCATTTTGATAGTGCTTACAAATTGTGGATATTCATAGAAGCACATCAAGGAGACTTGGAGGCGATCCAACAAGCTTTGGAGGATCCCACTTCAAGTTCATATGGAGCTTCATGCACACGGCCACTAGGCGATAGCCCTAGTGAGGTTTGCGAGTTCGAACCCGATAATGATTTATCTAGTGATGAACTTGCTTGTGCTAGTGAAAAATTATTACATGCCTTTAACAAATTGCAAAATGATTTCATTAATTTACAAAGCAAGCATGTAGAACTTATATCCGATCATGAGAAGCTAGCTTCCAATTTTGATATCATTTCCAAAGAAAATGTTGCTCTTAAAGAAAG